CGGATACAAAAGCCATGCAAGTTTCTGTGGCATCTAGAAAGTGGTTCAAAAAGGCAGAGCATGATATTTCCAGTTTTGTGCTCCAATATCTTATTCAATGTTTTCATTCGTTTACTCCTTCAATTAGAGTTTGAATTCCTTTATTTATCTCTTCCTTTAAGCTTAGGATTCCAGAATTATCATCTATGCCTGTTACATTTGTTTCCAGTAGTCTTAGTAGAAAAATTTCTGGGTTTCCATCCTTTTAGTCTGCTATCTTACCTGGAATTCTCAGAACATTCTTAACAAGACTGCTTATGATTGTTGTTGTGTGCCACCAAGTCGCTTGTGATTCATAGTGACTCTATGTACTACAGCACTGAACTCTGCTCTATCTTGAGCCAATTTTATTGTCTCTGACACACCTACTCCTATTACCCTAGTCCCTGAGTCAATCCATCTCATCCAGGGTCTTCCTCTCTTGCACTGTCCCTCCACCCTTCCAAGCATGATACCCCTCTCCAAGAACTGGTCTTTCCTTGCAATATGCCCAAAGTATGTCAGACATAGCTTAAAAATCCATGCCTCCAAGGAGAAACTTGGTTTTCTCCAGAATGGACCTGTTTGATCTCTTAGCAGTCCATTATATATTCTGTTCTCTTCTCCAGCACCATAACTCAAAGGTACCAATTCTTTTCTCATCATGTTTAGTCATTGTCCAGCTCTTTGATGCATAGCAAGTAACTGTGAAGACCACAGCCTGGATCAGGCATATCTTAGTCTCTAGACTGACATCATTACTCTTCACTGCTCTGGAGAAGTCCTTGACAACAAATGTCCCAAATGCAATTCGTCTTTTGATTTCCTGGCTGCTGGAACCAAGAGTGTTGATTGCGGAGCCACACAAACTGAAGCTGTCAACAATCTCATTCTCTTCTCCATCTATCATGATGCTGCCAATTGGCTCTTTGGTGAGAATATTTGTTTTCAGGATGTTTATTTCTAATCCATATTTAAGGCTGCAGTCCTTGACCTTCTGCATCACATGTTTTAGATCCTCCTCAGTTTCAGCAAGCAAAGCTGTGTCATCTGCCTAATGTAGGTTGTTGATGAGTCTTCCTCCAATCCTGATGTCACATTCCTCCTCATAGAGCCTAGCCTCCTAGATGATCTGTTCCACACATAGATTGAAAAGATATGGAGACAGACCACATCCATGGTGTACACCTTTATTGATTTTGAACCATGCCGTGTTTCCTTGCTCTGTTCTGACAACTGCTTCCTGGTCCAAGTATAGGTTTTGCATAAGCATAATCAAGTTTTCTGGGATTCTCATTCTTCTCAAATTCAGCCACACTTTATTGTGATCCACACAGTTAAATTGACTTTGAGAAAAGTCCTATGATTGATTACATTGATTAAAATTTGCTTTAACTTTAATATTTCAGTAACATTATATATAAAGCATAGTGTTTATGTATGAAGATGGATGTAGTACCAAGATTGGAGGAAAACTTATTAACTGTTTGCGAATCTTGCTTGTACAAAGTGAAAAGGATTCGAGGCACTAATGGATATCAAAGGCTATAAGCTTCACTATGGACTACACTTCAACACAAAAAAAAACCACAACAACAAAGCAACCAAAACACTTAAATGGACCAACAAGCACCACCATGACAAAGAAAAGTTCTGTCAATGACTTAATATTTTTCGGATCCACAATGAAAATCTATGGAAGCAGTAGTCAAGAAGTAAAACATAGGCAATAGCTGCTGCAAAAGACCTCTTTAAAGTATCCAGAAACAAAGATATCACTATTAGGATCAAAGCACCCTTGACCCAAGCCGTAGTATTTTCAGTCACACATGTGAAAACTGGAAATAAATAAGGAGATGCAAGAGGAATCGACTTTGTATTATGGTACATGTGAAGAATAAGGGGTACACTGTGGATTCCCCGAAGAACAAGCACAACTGTCTTGTCAATGCTCCCTAGAAGCAAGGATGGTGAGGCTTTATTTTACTTTGAACATGTTTTCAGTAGGGATCTTTTCCTGGAGAAACACATTATAGTGGCCAGTGAAAATGAAATTGGGACTCTCAATAGGACATATTGCAAGTGGTTTTAACAATGGGCTCAAACACAGCCACAATCTTGAGAATGGCATGGATGAACAATGTGCTTTGAGTTGTTATGAAACAGAACTGATTCAATGGCATCTAACAACCACAGTTTTGCTCTATATTTATTTTAAAAATTATCTCTAGGAAAAATATAAACTTACTCAGATATTGTTCGTTGTTGTTATATGCCATCAAGTCACTTGTAATTCATAGTAACCCTATGTATGACAGCCCTAAATTCTGCCCTGTCCTGTGCCAATCGCACTGTCTCCAATACACCCATCCCGATTATCCCAGTCACTGAATCAATCCACCTCATAGATGGCCTTCCCCTCCTGCACTGTCCCTCTACTATCCCAAGCATGACATCTCTCTCCAAGAACTGGTCTCTCCTAACAACATGTCCAAAGTATGTCAGATGACGCCTCAGAATCCTTGTCTCCAAGGAGCAGCCTGGTTTAACCCTCTCCAGGATGAATCTGTTTTCTTAGCAGTCCATGGTACATTCAACTCTTCTCCAGCACCACAGCTCAAAGACATAGATTCTCTTTCTATTGTCCTTAGTCATTGTCCAACTCTCGGATGCATAACAAGTGATTGTAAAGACCATGGCCTGTATTAGATGCACCTTAGTTTCCAGAGTGACACCATTGCTCTTCAGTACTTTGGAGAGGTCCCTAACAACAGACTTTCCCATTGCACTACATCATTTAATTTCCTGGCTGCTGGTGCTAAGAGTGTTGACTGTGGAGCCAAGCAAACTAAAGCTGTGAAAATCTCAATCTCTTCATCATTCATCCTGATGCTGCCAATTGGCCCAGTGGTGAGAATCTTTGCCTTCTTGATATTGAGGCTCAATCTCTCTGCAGCAACTCAGATATATTTTTTTTTAATCTGGAACAGATTGTGTAACAGACACACTGAAACTAGGGTATAGTCTATAGTTTCTTCCATTGAGATTTAACCTGCTTTTTAAAAAATATCCTTCAGTAGTAAACCGGACATCTTTGCCATGTTTCAATTTTTTTTATAAATAGGGCCTTTTACAAAAGGCTCTGGAGTCCTTTTGTATATTTTAAATGATGTTTTTCTGGTAATGTAAATATATAGAATGTAAATGTAAATGTACATTCAATATGCTGTTTGTTGTTAAGTGTCATTGAGCGTAGACAACTCATAGTGACCCTATGAATGAAAGTCCTCAATATTTCTCCAGGTTAATAGGGTTTCCGGAGGCAGGCTATTACAGAAGTGGATACGATTCCTGCTTCCAAGCTTGTTTTAATTGGGGAGCTCCACCAAATACTGTCCGCCATGGGTAATCATTATCACATTTGACACCTCAGTGTCACAGTGTTCAGCTTCACTGCAACAACGAGCTACCTCTGTATGGAAAGTGGACACACCAGGGCTATACAACCTAGAAGAATGTTTGACCAAAACCAATTTAAACCAGGTCTGAGGGCCATGGATTAGAGTCACCCACCTTTGGCTTGGTAGCATCACTTTCTGTCCACTAGGCCAATTAATCTCTCTCTACGCATGCAATATACACATGTAAAAATGATGGCAGAATGGCATAATAATGCACAAAAAAGCATATGATAACAAAAGAAGACAAATAAATAGTATAAAAATGATTTAAAACATATTTTTTATTATAGATAGGCAAGTGTAGTTTGCTGTGGCTAAAGGTTTTTTAAAAATGGAAAAACAAGCTTTTCTATATACCAAAAGGTATACTATATTTCTTGTCATACTGAATTAACATTGGTCTGACAACAAGGGAAAATGGGACTGAGCTTATTTTAAGTGACAAGAGTTTTCCCAGATACCACTATTAAAATTTGCATGTTGAGTGTTTTAAGGTTTCAGTTACTATATTTAAGAACAGTGAAAGAAAATTGATGACTATTACAAAATGTATTCTATAAAGCAGAAATAAAAGATTTTTATAATTTAAAACAGCAGCAATTTCAGAAGTTTGCTGAATTAAAACTTTATAAAATATATATACACAACGTATCATTCCAGATGATCATGTATTTTTAAAACAGTACATTAAAATCCCTAAACTCTAACCCAACCTACTACTGCAGGTAACTGGCTATAAAATTTTTTACAACATTAAAAAAAAATATCAAAAGGGAACTTCTATTTCTTTTTTTTTTTTATAAGCACAGACTATAATGTGCTGGCTTTGGTTCCATATGCACAAGAGCATTTTAAAATAAAACAAGGGCTTCATATAAATAATGTTTTACTTGTTATTATTAAGTGTGTGTCCAAACAAATGAAAATAAGTACTAACAACCAAAACATATCTTGATGTAATCAGTACATACTCTTAAAGAATGACAAAGACGAAAAAGAAGGAAAACAGCGTATGAAAGCCTTTAAGCACCTTGTTTGAGAATGAGCACCGAGCAACATAAAAAAGGCAACACGTAAGAGGTAGTGTACCACTGGCTAAGATGTATATGCCCACAGAGGACTTGAATACAACTTAGTGTTTGGGAAAATAAGACATATAAGACTGTGGCTTATAAATTTTAGACAGAAGCATTACACGTTTGGGAGCCTTAGCCAGTATTGCTCCACCGTGCACTGCGTCTCCAGCTGTCTAATGGGTATTTTGCTATCAGACAGTCAAAACATATAGGATACCCTGAATTTTATGTTCATAAGTTTTAATTTCTAGGAAATTCTTTCAGAAAGCTCAGATCAGTATAAGTTTTAGAAGACTTAAATACTTTATCAACCATAGTCCTTTATAAAATGCCTTTTCTCCTTAGGAGGAAGTCTTTTCTTCCTGAGATTCTTTAAGATTTAGTCAATGCTTTATTCCTCGCATTACATGATAATAGTATCTCTATTTTCCCCTCTGCAGCAATAACCTGCCCAACAGCATGAATTCTGAACTAATTCAGAGATGTTAGAGGAAGCATACAGAACTGCTCTCAATATAGTATTTCTGTCCAGTTTTGAGAAAAGCAAGTTTTTGTACTTCTATCACGGGAAGCTGATTAGGGTCCCAGGTGTGAAAAAGGAATTTTGCCTTATGCCAGCTGCCATCTTGAATCTGTAAAATAAGAATAAAATGTTTTTATTTGTATCTGTATGGTTAGAAGTCATTTTCAGCAAACAATATACATTTCAGACACTGTAGATTTATGTCAAGAATTAGAGATGCTGATATATGACTACAAAGGGATACTATGCAGCATTGAAAAACAATGAACTCATAGGACATTACTCAGCATGGGGACCCTGGAGGACATCATGCTGAGTGAAAGATCTCAGTCACAAAAAGACAAATATTGCATAGCACCCCTCTTCTAAAACAGGTCTGACATGGAGGTTGGGAGGAAAATATGTTAAGAGTAGATAGATAATGACCATTGCAATGGAGCAGATGAAAGCAAGAATTGTTTAAAAGGAATATATGATTATGTATTTTACGTATGACAGCAGCCCCGAATAAGAGGTATATCACTGCAAAGATGACTAGGGGTGGGGGGAGGTAAATAATTGTACAACAATGAACAAGTATTAAAAAAATTAATTGGGAGGAAGGGAGGGAGAGGCGGCAAAATGTACAACAATGAATGAATGAAAATCTAACTTCTCTGAAAACGTTCATTGAAATCACAATTAAAAATTTATTTAAAAAAGAATTAGAGATGATGAATATAAAGTTCATTCACAACAATACTTAACAAATGATAAGAATTACTAAGAATAATTTGACTTAGGTGAGAGTTGTGTTGTTAACCGAAAGATGATGCTTCTCTGGTAGTTTAATCTAAGAGTGACTCTGAGAAAGAAAGAAGTGCAATCTCCACTCATGTGATTTACAGCCTCTAAAACCTGCTGCAGCGTCAGCTATAAATTGGCTCTGACCCAGGGGCAGTGAGTTTTAGTTGGAATTGGAGTCTTATTCCTTGTTTTCTTTTTTTTAAAAAAAATCAATAATTGCATTGTTTATTACAGTTTTGCACTTTCAGATATTAGGATCACCGAGGAAGAAATAGCTGGCTATCATTCATCATATATGAATAATACCCTTTTTGTGTTTTATTGGTTTATTTGGGACATATATAGATGAGTTTTTTTGGTGTGTGAAATAGAATGAGCTATCTCAACATCTGTTTTTTTTTTTAGTGGGAAATAAACCAAATCACCTCCTTTAGAATTAGGTAAGTTATAATTATAGTGACTCACTTTTTAGGTACCTAATCCCTACCTCACTGATTCTTGTTTATAGGGTTTCTTTATTTTCTTCCTTCCAGGCCTTTCTGTTTCTCTTATCACAGCTTGCTTCTCTGTTTCTAATAAATTTTATTGTAGAATAGAAATGTAACATAAAATGTCTTCCCATTAAAAGTCAACAAGGCAAGATAGAGAAATAACAATTGACAAGTTTTGTGCAGCTTTTTGTTTAGGAGTTCATTCATTAACTCATTTACAGAATCATGTTATGGAATAAAATTTGAAGGAACTTTAGAAATTCTATAATCTAAAGCTTCTAATTTTAAAGCTAAGGCAATGAAAGCTCATCGAAGATAAGTTACTTGCCTAAAGTTGTAAACTTAGTGTTATAAATACAAGTAGAGAATCCTATATGTAAGATACAGTTGAATTATTTATTAAATCTTTCAAGCAACATTTATTGAATAGTATGTACATTTGGCAAAGGTACATAAGATACAATTCTCAGTTCTTTTATAGTGCCATGGAGAATATAAGGATGAGTAAATTCATTCTGACCTTCAAGTTATAGCAGCTTATACATCTAGTTGGAGAGAGAGAAGATACAAACCATTATAATACAAAACTATATAATACAGATAATGACTGCTAAATTATTCCTCATTTCCAACTGGAGTAGAGTAGTTCAGGATAGTATTGTGAATAATTCAGAATCTAGGTCTTAAGTCCTGCCAAAATGTTTCATTTTGTTAGATAAAAAAAGGCAATTCAGAGAAAAAGAATTGTTTGAGGGAAAAAAAAACCACCTTTAGAAAGAAGCAGCTGTGAAAATCATTGCAGCATGGGGAGCTAAGAGTAGTCTTTGGCTTGGGATAAATCTGAGTAGAAATTCAGGGACAATAAGTTGCTAATACACAAAATGAAGACAAGAAATCTAATTTAATGTATTTTAAGGATTGAATGATACTTGGTTTAAAATCCCTAGCATTAAAGTTGAACATTGAATTGTGCACAGCTGGGTTGATGTCTTGCTAATCTATTAAATAGCTGATCTCAGGCAACTCATTTCTTGGTGCCTTTACCTTTTTATCTATAAAAAGGGATCAATAATACCTTTTCCCACAAAGCTGTTGTTTTTAAAAGAAATTAATGTATGTAGAACATCAACAGTCAAAGTCTATGTAACCACTGTAAAGTTGGAACCAACTCACATCTGCCCCTCTGGCAGGTTTTCTGCGACTATAAATCATAGGAGAGGAGACTGCCTATCTTTCTCCCATGGAGTTGCTGATGGATTTGAACTGTGTGTCTTTGGGTTAGCAGCACAATTCCTTGCCAATGCAGGTAGGTGTGTTGGCGACAGTGAGACTGTGTCTCAGGATAGGGCAGGATTAAGTGCTATTAGACCTAAAGTACATACAGCAGGGTCTTACACTCTTTTCCTCACCTTCTAGCTTTCCAAGCACGATATCCCTTTCCAGGGAATATCCTCTCCTGGCAAAATGCCCAATATTTATGAAAAAATGTTTCACCATCCTTGCTTTCTAGGAGCACTCTGAACGCTGTTCTATCTTATGCAATTCTCATAATTCCTGACACACAAGAGTCCATTGCAGCAGTCACAATGTCAATCCACCTGAATGAGGGTCTTTCTCTCCTTCATTGATCTTCCACCCTTTGTAGCATCATGTCCCTCTCCAAGGAATAGCCCCTCTTAGCAACATGTCCAGAGTATGTAAGGCGAAACGTCATCATTCTTGCCTTCAAAGAACTCCCTAGCTGCACCCTTTCCAAGACATAACTGTTTGTTCTTTGGGCTGCCTATGGCATGTTCAGTGCTCTTCTCCAACAACACAGCTCAATTCTTTTTCTACATCAATTCTTCTTCTGCCATCCTTATTAATTTTCCAGCTTTCGGGTGAAAAGCAAGTAATCAGAAAGACTATGGCCTGAATCAGATGCACCTTAGTTCTCAAACAGACATCATTACTCCTCCATAATTTTGAGAGGTCCCTAACTGTAGATTTTCCCACTGCAATGTGTCTCCTTATTTCCTGACTGCTATTGCTAAAGGTGTTAATTGTGGATCCAGGTACGATGAAGTTGTTGTTTCATTCTCCTCTCCTTCCATCATGATGTGAGTCCAGTGTTAAGAATCTTTGTTTTCTTGACATTGAGATGCAATCCATACCAAAAGCTCATTGCTTGATCTTCTGCAACAAGTGCTTCAAGTATTTCTCACTTTCAGCAAGCAAAGTTGTGTTGTTTGCATAATGCAGGTGATTGATGAGCCTCCCTCCACTCCCCATGCTACATTCCTCTTCATAGAGTTCACCTTCTTGAATAATTTGTTCAGCATACAGATTATATAGATATGGAGAGAAAAATATAACCTTGATACACTCCCTTCTTAATTTTAAACCACGCAGTGTTTCCCTGCTCTGTTCGTACAATAGCTTCTTTGTCCAGGTTTAGGTTTCACATGAGCACAATCAAGTGCTCTGGTACTCCCCTTCTTAATGTCAGCCACAACTTGTCAGGAGCCACACAGTCAAATGCCTCTGGATAGTCAATAAAACACAAATAGACATTCTCCTGGTATTCTTTACGTTCGCCAAGATCCAACTGACATCTGCAATGATATTTCTGGTGCCATGGCCTCTTCTAAATGCTACTTGAACTTTTGGCAGTTTTCCTACCTCTGTACCATTCTGGCAGTTTCAGAATGACCTTCAGTAGTATTTTGCTTACATGTGATATTAATGATATTGTTCAATAGTTTCCACATCAGTTGGATCACCTTTCTTGGTAATGGAAACAATATATGGACTTCTTCCAATCCATTGGCCAGACAGCCGTCCTACATATTTCCTGGCATAGACTGGTGAGTATCCAAGGATGTAAACAAGTCACTTGGTATCCCGTGGATTCCTGGGGTCTTATTTTTTGCCAATGCCTTCAATACAGCATCCTCTTCCTCTTTCATTACCATAGTCTCTTGTTCATATGGCACTTCCTGAAATTTTTCAGTGTCAATCATTTCTTTCTGGTACAGTGATTATGTGTATTCCCTCCATTTTCTCTTGATGCTTTCTAGGTAATTAAATATATTCAATAAAGATGCCCATAGCATCGTTCAATATTGCTATTCAAAGCTTCAGTTTGTTTTTCCATTCTCTCAGTTTGAAAAAAATGCAGACCAAGGTCTTCCCCTTTTATTCTCCAGTTCCAGCTCTCTGCATATTCCATTATAATACTTTGCTTTGTCCTCCTGAGCTGCCCTTTGAAATCTTCTGTTCAGCTCTTTTACTTTGGCATCTTTTCCTTTTCTTTTGGCTTCTCAATGTTCCAATGCAATTTTTAGATTCCCTTCTGATTTTCATTTCAATCCCCCCCCCCCTTTTGTGACCTTTTGCTTTCTTCATGGCTGATATCATCCCATAACTCATCTGGTCTTCAATCATTAATGTTTAATGCTTTAAACCTACTCCTAGGATTATTCTAAAATTCAGATGGAATTGATTCAAGATCTTATCTTGGTTCCTGTGGACTTCTTTTCATTTTCTTCAGCCTCAATTTGAACTTGCATATGAGTAACTGATGGTCTGACCCATATTCCACCCCTGACCTAGTTTTGACTGCCGATATTGAACTTCTCCAATGATTTCTTCCACAAATGTAGTTAGTTTGATTCCTTTGCAGCCCATCAGGTGAGATCCATGTGTAATATCATAATTTTTCCTCTCTAGCAACACTTTTTCCATAACACATAAAATGTGACACATAGTACCTGCTATATAATACACCTTAAATAAATGGTAATATTAAAACTATTGTTATTACTGTCTTGAGTAGATAAATTTGGTCATGTTGTTGTTAGTTACTATATCGATCCATCTCATCAGGGGTCTTCCTCTCCTGTGCTGTCCTTTCACCCTTCCAATCATGATGTCCTTCTCCAAGGACTGGGCCCTCCTGGTCACATACCCAAAGTATGTGAGACAAAGCTTCAAAATTCTAGCCTCCAAGGAGAAACTTGGTTTCACTCTCTCCAAGAAAGACCCATTTGTATTCTTGGTAGCCCATGGTATGTTCAGGACTCTTCTCTAGCACCACAGTTCAAAAGGCATTGATTCTTCTTTTGTCATCCTTAGTTATTGTCCAGCAGTCTGGTGCATAGTAAGTAAACATGGCCTGGATCAGGTACACCTGAATCTCTAGATTGCCACTGTTGCTTTTCAACACTCTGGAGAGGTCCCTGACAGCAGGTTTTCCCAAGGCAATTAATCTTTTGATTTCCTAACTGCTGGTTCCAAGAGTGTTGATTATGGAGAAGAGTAAACTGTAATTGTTAACCTCAATTTCTATTCCATCTATCATGGTGCTCTCAAATGGTCCAGTGATGAGAATCTTTGTCTTCTTGATGTTGAGCTTCAATCTATATTGAAGACTACCATCCTTGACTTTCTGTAGCACTCACTTCAGGTTCTTTTCAATTTTAGCAAGCAAAGTTGTGTCATCTGTATAATGTAGGTTGTTGATGAGTCTTCCTCCAATCCTGATGCCATATTCCTCCTCATAATGATCTATTTTCCATATAGATTGTAAAGGTATGGGGATAGAATGCATCCCTGACACACTTCTTACCTGATTTTGAATCATGCCGTTTTCTCCTGCTCTGCTTTGAGGACTTCTTCCTGGTCCAAATAAAGATTTCCTATAAGCACAACAAGTGTTCTGGGATTTCCATTCTTCTCAGGGTTAGCCACAATTTGTTGTATGTGATCCACACAGTCAAATGGGTTTGTATAGTCAATGAAACACAAAGACATTCCTCTGGTACACTCTGCTTTTTGCCAAGATCCATCTGATATTGACAATAATGTCTCTAGTGCCATGACCTCTTCTAAAACCAGCTTGTATTTCTAGTAGTTCTCTGTCAATGTACTGTCCTAGTCATTTTTTGACAATCTTCAGCAGCATTTTGCTTGCATGAGATATTAGTGATATTATTTGATAATTTCCTTACTCTGTAGTATCACCATATTTTGGAATGGGAATAAATATGGATCTCTTCCAGTCAGTTGGCCAGGTAGTTGTCCTCCACATTTTTTGTGTGAAACCTGGTCAGTACATCCATGACAGCATCTGTTTGTTGAAATATATATAAATTGATATTCCATCAATTCCTGGGGCTTTATTTTTTGTCAAATCCTTCAGAACAGCTTGAACTTCCTTCTTTATCACCATTGCCTCTTGCTCATATATTGTTTCTTGAAATTCTTCTGTGTTGAAACAATTTATATAGCCTAGATTTGCAGGGAGAGCAACACTTGACTTTTGTTAATAACTGAGTTATTACGAAGCTCTGTTAGTTTAATGGCTAAAGAATTGCACTGCCAACCTAAAAGTACCCTATTTGAATCCACCAGCTGCTTCATGGGAGAGAGACGGACAATTTCCTCTCATTCAATTTACTACCTCTGAAGAATCTGCTGAAGGATTGGTTCTGACATGATGGTACTCAACAACAACAATAGCAAAGAATTAATAATTTTGAGTTGTGTTATAGAGGCATTAGTGAGTACCCGATAGTTTGCAAGCAATATTGAAAAGTTAAGTTGAGTTCTTGGTGATACTGATTTTTTTTTTAGATTTTTTTTCTTTTTCTTTTTTAATTTATTATTAATTTCAATGAAATTTTATAGAGACTTTGCATTTCTATTCATTCATTGTTGCACTTTTCTCCCCTCCCAACACTTCCCCCTAGTACAATAACCTCTTGGAAAAGTAAAAGAAAAATTCTTTCATTGTTTTACAATCCCTCTCCCCAGGTCCACTCCACTATGCAGCCTTCGCTCTGGACTCCTGTCATGACAAAAATACCTAATCACATATCCCTTTTAAGCAGTTTTCTCCCTAATCTGTTTCAATGCAATAAACATTATTGAACCCATCTTTCTCAGTCTCCACCCAACCCCAATGCCAGTCCTGTTTTACAACAGTGGCACCATACAGAATTTGTCCTTTTGTGACTGAGATACTTCACTCAGCATAATATCCTCCAGGGTCACCCATTTTGAATAATATTGCATGAGTTCATTGTTTTTCAATGCAGTGTAGTATTCCATTGTGTGAATATACCACAGTTTCTCTATACTTAGGAAATAAAGGGCTATATAATTATGAATGTTAATCTTTTGCTTTTCAAATGCTCATGCACTATTGATTTTTTTCCTGGATGAAACTACATTTCCAGAAATTCTACAAAATAGTGGAGTTCCCTAGAAATGATTATTGTTGTTCTTAAATGCTATTGACTCTTGACTCATAGTGACCCTCTGTAACATGGATCAAATCCTTGCTGAATTTTCATAAACTCTTCCTTGAAGTCATTAGTCATTGTGTCAATTCATCTCCTTTGCTGATCCTCTACTTTTCCAAGCATGATGGAATTCTAGGAACTAACCCTACCTGACAACATGCTCAAGGTGCATAAGATAAGGTTTCACCATCTTTGTCACTAAAGAACACCCAGTTGGACTTCTAAGACAGATTCATTTGTTTTTGGGCATGCAATATTCTTCACCATCACCACAATGCAATGGCATTAATTCTTCTTCAGTTTTCCTTTGGTTTTATTTATTTTCCAACTTTCACAAGTATTTGAAGCAATTGAAAATATTATGGCTCAGATTAGAAGTACCTTAGTCTTTACAGATATCTTTGCTTTTCAGCACTTTAAAGCAGTCTTTGACAGCAGATCTGCTCAATGCAAGACACTATTTGATTTCTTGTCTGCTGCTTTTATGGGTATTGATCGTGGATCCAGTAAAATCAAATCCTGACAGCAACAATTTTTTTAATCTTTATCATGATGTTGCTTGTTGGTCTAGCTGCAATAATTTTTATTTTCTTCATGTTGAAGTAAAGAAGTGAAATCTATGCTGAAAGTTGTAGTCTCTTGTAGTAAGCACTTCAAGTTCTCTTCATTTTCAGCAAGCAAGGTTGTGTCAACTCCATATGTAAGTTGTTGATGAGTCTTCCTCCAATGCTAATGCTTCATTCTTCATATAGCCCAGCTTTATGGACAATTCTTTCTTCTTACCACGTGTCAACAAATGTCTGTTGTGAAGTAGCAGGTAGGACATATTTTAGGTTTGGGGGTCATACTGTATCTGCTCCATCTACTAAACTCTGACAGTTTTAGCAGGAAAACATACAAAGACATTAAAGAAAGAGTATGTCTGTTTTAATAAAAACTTATTTCTAAAACATGCAGGAGACTGATTTAATCCATGATCTGTAGCTTGCTCACATGTGTTCCCTAACATCTTCCCCCTCCCCATATGTCTTTATAGAAACTAACTGCCTCTTCTTTCTCTCACAGAGTAGCTGATGGATTAAAAAGACAAATCTTTTTGCTAGCATACCAGTACTTATTCCATTGCAAACACATTTATCTAGGTATAATTAGTTATTTATTATTATTAATTAAATTAATCATATTTCTTTATCTAGATATAATTATTTCATGGGTAAAATAAAAATGAATTTTATATGTTAAAAATTTTTGTATGCAAAAATCAATGATGATCAATAGGAATGGTAAGATTTGGCTAAGTCTGATATAAGTAAGATGTTCATTTGAAAAATATGTGGTTATAAATAAGTGATACCCCTTGAGCAGGAAGAAAAGTGCAACAACGAATGAATGGAAATCCAAAGTCTCTGTAAACGTTCATTAAAATTAATAAAAAAAAAATGACACTCCTCATTGCCACTGAGTCAGAACCAACTTACAGCTGACACTCCGGTGGGATTCTCAGTGGCCATAAATTACACAGGAATAACAAGAGTCTGGCACAAAAGGTACCTTGAAAAGTAAATTGCGAAAGGGGGTAACTCCAGGACTAGAGGGAAATGTGCAACAGTGAATGGATGAAAACTCAACTTTTCTGTAAACTTTCATTAAAATAATGATAAAAAATTATTAAAAAATTAAATTTATATGATGAGACTTCTCATTTTTTTTCCATGGAGCAGCTGGGGAAATTCATGCTGCCTCCCTTTGTATTGGCAACACAACTCCTTACCCACTAGGCCACCAGAGCTTACATATAATAAATTAGGTACACTAATTGTGTACCATGTGGAGAGAGAGAGTTCAGCTGGCCCAGTGGACAGAAGGCAACGCTCCCAAGTCGAAGGTGGGTGACTTTTAATCTGTGCCCCTCGGGCCTGTCTTTCATTGTTTTTGTTCAGACATTTCTCTAGGTTGTATAGCCCTGGTGTACAAGTTGCCATAAGCGGTAACTTGTGGTTGCTGTGAAACAGAACACTGTGAAACTGATGTGTCAAATGCGTTAATGGCTGGTTACCCAATGTGGACAGAGAGTGGGGTGGAGCTCTCTGATTAAAACAAGCTTGGAAGGAGGAGTGGCATCCACTTCTGTAATAGCTTGCCTCTGGAAACCCTATGAACCTGGAGAGAGGATGAGAGACACCCAAGTGTTGAGGACTCTCCTTCATAGGGTCGCTATGAGTTGCCTGTGACTCGACGGCACTTAACAACAAGAACAATGAGTACCATATTCTGTAATCTGCAGTTCACCATTAAAATCTTACTCCTACTATCTAATTTTGTAGTTTTATCAATTTTAAGTTAGTCATACTTAACAATTCTAAAAGTTCCATCTTCTTACCTTGCAGTCATTTGAAAGCAATTCAGGTTCAAGTAGAGTGTTTTCTTCAAAAATCTGTCCATCCCATCCCTTGAAACGTATGGGCTGTCCAGAGTCACTTGTCCACAGTGGGGTATTTAGACAATGAATGGTGATAACATGGGTGGCTTCTGAGCTCAGTAAATGAAGGAAGTTCATCTGGACTTTCTCAATTCCAAATTCCAACTAATACAGAAACAAAATGCATATTTTAACAACTGAACAAGAGAAACTGGAAGAAAGACTTTGAGAGGCAGCCATGAGGTATTCATATTTCTGGGAATTTAAGTGTCACTTAGTTGTGTGCTGGTGAATGGCTTTCTGGAGGGAAAAAACAAAAGCACTGATTCATAATATCTATTGAATTCCTTGGTGCAAATACTTCCACGATGTCTGGTTTCAGGCAACCAAGGTATTATCACTAAATGCGCGATTGAGTAACACACTAACAATTGGCTCTCCTGAACCAGTATCAATTGGTTGTAGCTAGCACATCACTTACTCATTGTCTTTGAGTAAAAAACAACTCATAGCTGACCCTCTGTTGGAGTTTATGTTTTCATAAGTAAATTCTTATTGAAACACAGACATGCTCATTCATTACTTATTGCCTTTGTCAGCTTTACTGCTAAAAATGCCAGGGTTGAATAGATGCAGCAGAAATTGTCCGACCCCTCTTTCCCCTAAAAAATGTCCTATCTGCCCCTTTACAACAGATTGCTTGTGAACTCCTGTTAAAGAGAATAGGCTGTAAATTGCTCATTATATTTCCCATCTTTCTTCCATGAAGATGCTGGTGAATTTGAACAACCAGAGAGGCACGGTCATTGGTTTAGTGCAAAATTCCCTAGTGCTCTAGGTTACTGTTGTTGTGTTGTTAAGTGCCGTCAAATTGTAGACGACTGAAAGTGACCCTATGAATGAAAATCCTCAACACTTGAGTGACTTTCATTCTTTCTCCAGGTTCATAGGGTTTCCAGGGGCAAGTGGATGCGACTCCTGCTTCCAAGCTTGTTTTAACCCAGGAGCGCCACCAAACACTGTCCACCATGGGTAAACCAGGTTACTACATATAATTAAAAGACCAAAATAATTTTCCTAATATTGCCTAAAATGCAGTTAGACTTTGTTATTGGCTGATTCTTTAAAATATTTCTTCATAAAATCGTAAATTCTGCCTTTATTTGAAGATGGTGTGTGTTTGTTACTCTAAGGAAATGTTACAAGTTTAATAATAATTTGAACACTACCAATGAGCTCATAAAATTTGAGTTATAACAATGAGCCCTTAAGGACAAGGACAGACACTTATTCTTTGTGCTGTCTGCCCAGAATATAGTTTCAGACATACTGTGAGTCATCAATAAATGTTTGTTCAATGACCTAAGGCATGAACAATGTGTTAACTAAAAGAGTATGTACACAGGGCAAAATCAGGGCTAGGAGGTCTGATGGTACATTTTCTAAACTAGGAAAAGGAAGTAGACTTTCCTTTAGTTTTAAAGGTATTATTAATTTTAGCATTATTCAGGCTGGGGTATGATCATCAGGTAATAAGCAGAAATGGCTTCTACTGAGGAAATAATATTAATTTTCAAATAAAAATTAGAAGACAGTTATGAGGTGACAAAGACAAGAAATAACTAAAATAGCAGCAGCAACAACAAAAAAATCACCACCAACAAAGTGTCCCAGGAAAAGAAAGGGCAAAAGAAAGGCATAAGCATCAACACAGGGTTGTATAATCATAAGGAACAGTAGAATTGAAATAGTCCAATGCCTTTATTTCAGAGATGATGATCAGAAACTTGTAAAATACTTAACATGTTAGTGGATTAGTTGACTCAAACGTTCAGATCCTTGACTCCAATTTAGTTTCACTTCTACTACCTCCCGAACTTTCTCTAATTGAGTCTATGGACAGGAGACATGAGAGAAATGACTCGGACATGGCAAGAACTGCATTGTGTAGTACCCTTGCTGTTCCTTAACCTTTGTAGGATTCTCCCCACCACTTTCCTTCAATGACAAAAGAAATGAAAATTTCAGAAAAACTTCCAGGGCAGTGAGGAAAATTTTGAGCATATTTTAGAAATAGAACCATCATGCTACACTTCATAAAAGGTGCATGAATTTCCTAGGAATGTTTTCCTCTCCATTTTTGGGATAATGATGAACGCCTACTGTAGTGAATCAGTGAACCACCCTGGTTAATTAAGGAGCATGCTTTTGGAGGAAAGATGAGTATAACAGTACTCTACTAAGGAGAACAACAGATTATATTTCAGCTGATGCTGTTTGTTGTTATTGTTGTTGATAAACAAAACAAATAATAGTTATGTGTAGATTCGTTCCAAGCATGAGGATGTCCTTCTCATGCTTGGAAGACTGGAGGGTGTCAGCACAGGAGAAGAAGACCCTGAATGAGATGAATTGACACAGTAACTGGGGTCAATGGAGGTAGGTGTGTCAAAGATAGTGAGATTAGTTCAGGAAAGGGCAGGATTCAGGGCTATTCATAGGGTTGTTATAAGTCTCAGGCAACTCAATGTCACATGATATCATCATCATCATCATCATCAACAACAACATAGATTCTTTGTCAATGAGAAATAAATTACTGGCAAAAAGTAGATTTAATTAATAATAAAAAATGCAAATTGAGTGTATTTTATATTTAGATTTTGTCAAAATATTTTAAAGGTAGAACTAGGCTTTAGGTTCATAAACACTTGTTAAAACACTGGTATTATACTAAATTAACTTGCATTCATTCTGAACATTGGCTCATAGAATACTTTAATGATGCTTTATATAACTGATAATACTTTTTATGATTAAAACAGTATGTCAACTTGGTCATGGTTCTTTAACTGGGCATTTATGTAAGTGACAATTGCATAATGATATGATTAATCTGATTCTATATTAAGAGGATTAGGGTAGGATGTTGTTGTTGCTATGTGCCGTCGAGTTGCTTGCGACTCATAGCGCCCCTATGTACAACAGCCCTAAACTCTGTTCTGTCCTGTGCCAATCTCATTGTCTCCAAAATACTCTTCCCGATTACCCCAGTCACAGAATCAATCCATCTCCTAGAGGGTCTTCCCCTCCCGAGCCTGCCCTCCACCCTCTTAAGCATGATGTCCTTCTCCAAGGACCGGTCTCTCCTTACAACATGACCAAAGTATGTCAGACAAAGCCTCAGAATCCTTGCTTCCAAGGAGCAGCCCGGTTTAATCCTCTCCAGGATGAATCTGTTTGTTTTCTTAGCAGTCCATGGTACCCTCAATACTCTTCTCAAACACCAAAGCTCAAAGGCATCAATTCTCCTTCTATCCTCCTTAGTCATTGTCCAACTCTCTGACGAATAACAAGTGATTGCAAAGACCATGGCCTGTATCAGACACACCTTAGTCTCCAGAGACACACTGTTGCTCTTCAGTACTTTATAGAGGTCCCTGACAGCAGACTTTCCCATCGCAATATGTCTTTTAATTTCCTGGCTGCTGGTGCCAAGAGTGTTGATTGTGGAGCCAAGCAGACAAAAACTGTGAACAATCTCAATCTTTTCACCATCCATTCTGATGCTGCCAATTGGTCCAGTGGTGAGAATCTTTGTCTTCTTGACATTGAACCTCAATCCATACTGAAGGCTGTAGTCCTTGACCCTTTGCAGCAAGCGCTTCAGGTTCTCCTCAGTTTCAGCAAGCAGGGCTGATACAACATCTTAATTAATTATAGAGGGAGTTTCCTCAGGGATTTCAGTAAAAGTCATGGCCATCTAGCCAGAACAGTTTCATACCTAACCCTCCAACAGGTATTTAGAATATTTATAGCCTTAAAGGCTATAAATTGTGGAGCTGAGTAAGCTAAAATTGTTAACAACTTCCATCTCTTCTTCATCTACTGTGGTGCTGCCAATTGGCCCTGAAGTAAAAATCTTTGTCTTCTTGATGTTGAGCTTCAGTCCATAATGAAGACTGCAGTCCTTGACCATCTGTAGCAAGCACTTCAGGTACTTCTCAGTTTCAGCAAACAAGGTTGAGCCATCTGAATAATGTAGGTTATTGAAGAGTCTCCAATCCTGGTGCCACATTCTTCCTCACAAATCTGGTCTCCTGAAAGATTTGTTCCACATACAGATTAAAAAGGTATGGAGACTGGATGCATACTTGCTGCACTCCTTTCCTGATTTTAAGCCATGCAGTGTTGACTTGTTCTGTTCTGAGGACTGCTTCTTTGTCCAAAGATAGGTTTTGCATGAGCATAATCAAGTGTTCTCGTGTTCCCATTTTTCTCAAGGTTAACCACAAATTGTTGTGATTCACACAGTCAAAATCCTTTGCATAGTCAATGAAACATAGACACTCTTCTAGTACTCTTTGTTTTCAGTCAAGATCCATCTGACAATGGCAATAATGTTTTTAGTGACACGGCCTCTTGTAAATCCAGCTTGTATTTCTGGTAGTTCTCTGTCAATGTACTCTTCCAGTTGTTTTTAGAGAATCTTCAGCAGGATTTTGCTTATTTGTGATACTCGTGAAATTGTTCTATAATTTCCACACTCTGTTGCATCATCTTTTTATTTTTAAAGGGAGTAGAATAAACATGAATCTCTTCCAATCAGTTAGCCAGATGGTTGTCCTTCAGATTTCTTTGCAAAACTTAGGGAACACACCCAGAGCAGTGTCTGTTTGTTGAAATATGTCATTTGGTATGCTGTCAATTTCTGGGGCCTTGTTTTTTGCCAATTCCTTCAGAGCAGCTTGCACTTCCTTCTTCATCCCATTGCCTCTTGATCATATGTTGTTTCATGAATTCTTCTATATCAGCAAAATATTTTTGATAAAGTGACTGTGTGCTCCGTCTATCTTCTTTTAATGTATCCTGGATCATTCAATATTCTGCCAATAGCATGCTTAACTGTTGTAATTCGAGGCTTGAATTTGTTCTTTAGTTCCTTCAGCTTAAGAAATTCTGAGTTAGTTCAGCCCTTTTGATTTTCCGACTCCAGCTCTTCACATTTCATAATAAAATTTGCTTTGTCTTTCCAACCTGCCCTTTGACATCTTCTGTTCAGCTCCTTATTTTTCTGCATTCTTCCTTTTGTTTTGGCTTCTGTACATTCTAGTGCAATATTCAGAGTCTCTTCTGACATCTATCTTGTTCTTTTCTTCCTCTTTTGTCTTTTTAATGACCTTTTGCATTCTTCATGGATGATATTCTTGATTTCCTCCCACAGCTCATCTGGTCTTCATTCATACTAATTCATACTCAAGGTTTCAAACTTGTTTCTTAGATGGTTTTGAAATTCAGATGGAAAAGACCCAAGGTCAAATTTTGGTTCCTGTGGGTTTGATTTAACTTTCTTTAGCTTTACTTTGAATTTGCATATGTATGAGTAGTTAATGGTCTGTTCTATAGTCAGCATCTGGCCTAATTTTCACCGCTGATTTTGAGCTTCTCCATTGATTCTTTCCACAGATGAAATCCATGTGGATAGTCACCACACCATAAAGTGCTTTATGTTTCTTATAAAAGGTATTTCCAATGGCTAAATCACTAACTGTACAAAATTCTATCTTTCTATCTCCAGCCTCATTTCTGTTACCAAGTGCATGTCTTCTGGCTACTAATCCTTTTCCCTTGCTTCCAATGTTTGTATTCCAGTCACTCATTATTATTAATGCATCTTAGTTGCGTGTTTGATCGATTTCTGACTGCAAAAGTTGGTAGAAATAATCTATTTCCTTCTCTGACTCTGGTTGTTGGTACACATATTTGAATGACAGTGGTAATAACAGGTCTTCTTTGTATGTGTACGGATATTATCCTGGCCTTACAACACTGTATTTCAAGATGGATCTAGAAAAGACCTTTTAAATTATGCATGCAACCTCATTTTTCCTCACCTTTTCATCTTGGCATGGTAGATCATATGATTGTCTGATTCAAAATATTCAATGCTAGTCCATCTCATTTTGGTAATACCCAGTATGTCAATATTTATGTTCTTAACAATGTCCAATTTTTGTACATGCATGCTTCTCACATTGAATGCTCTCATGATTAGTGTCTGCTTACAACTGTTCCTCCTCATTTGTGTTTCCAAATTTGAAGGTTCAGTCTCAGGTGCTATATCTGCTAGTCTACTCTATATTGTACATAAGGTTTCTAAAGGCCTGATTTTTTGGAAGTGGATTGCCAATCTTTCTTCCTAGTGTGTCTTAATATGGATGGCAGCTTTAAAAAAATATCTGACAGATAAGCAATTTACCAGAAAGAGCAGATGAAAGATACTTCCTTATTACAGAAGTAATGAATAGATTTAGTGTTGGGTTACCCACCCCCACCCCCATCTCACTCCCTCCCTTGGTGCATGTGTCTTGTTCTGTCACTTTCCCTGCTCCACCATCATCCTCTTCCACACCCACCTATGCCTGCCAGCACCTCCCCACCCCAGCCAACCCTTGTTATGATGACTCAGGCCTCAAGTCACTTCCATGATGCCTCATACCACTTCTGATCTCTCATGCTGCTGCCAGTCTCTCATAAGTTTAAGAGGCTCTGAGTATACCATTTGATTATCTGATTTAAAGTGGCAAAACTAGTATACTATGTGATGATCTGATTCAAAGTGGCCAAAGCTTGTCCATTTTGACTAATGCCTAGAATGTTGATGTTCATGTGTTCCATTTAATTTCTTCACTTCTACTTTTCCATATTTCATGTTTCATACATATTATATTCTAATTATTAAAGGATGTTGGCCATTATTCTTTCCTCATTTTGATTGAATTCCAATCTGGGCTCTACCTATAATACTATAACTATGTTCCTATACTATTCATAGGTTTTTCAGAGGATGCTATTTAAGAAATAGATAGCCAATCCTGCTTAAATCAGTCTTAATCTAGGAGCTCTTCTAAAACCTCTCCACCAGGGGTGACCCTTGCAGTATTCTCACTGACGCAGTGTAAATCTTGGCATATATTCTGAAATTTAATTTTACGTACCTTTGTCACAGAAACAGGATATACACATGTCTGGCCACCAGCAGTGAAATTGCAGAATACCTCAATTGCATCTGAAGAACATCCAAGGTTTGGATCAATCCAATATTTTCCTAAAAATTTGTATTAAAACATAAGGTTATTTAAATTAAATGCCATGCTAAATATATTTGAACCATTCTTACAAATCATCATCATGTTCTACAGTTTATCAGTCTTATGTGTTACAAGAACTTAGATTGTAAATATGCTTACAAATGATGAATGAATGAAAACTAGAAGCATTTTGTACAATTGATACTGAAAATACAGTATAAATTTAAAGGTATTTCATAACTTTAGTTAAAGAAGTAAATGGAATTTATTTCTGGAAGAGATTATATAAAGAGTATAGTCGGAGCACTGGCTGAAAATCGCCTGTGACTTCATCCATAGCCACTGGTGAGAGTCAGCACCCAGAGCCATCAGGGGCTTTAAGCTCGTTGCCCACTGCTGTGGTGTGGACAGCTGAAACCCAGGCCCTGACAGGCACCTGGGGGGGGGGAACCCCAGACTCTACTTCATGCTCTGCTGGAGAAGGAGGGACAGTCTCCTGTACCAGTCAGACCCAATTTTACGGTACACACACACACACACTTTTTCTTCTTCTTTTTTAAAAAAAGACTACTTCAGCCGTCGCGGCCCTCTGCCTGGGGCGGGCTGCCCTCGGCCCCCTGCCCAGGGCGAGCCGTTGCGGTCCTCTGTCTGGGGCGGGCTGCCCTTGGTCCCTGGCCCTGGGCAAGCCGTCGCGGCCCTCTGCCTGGGGTGAGCCGTTGCAGCCCTCTGCCCGGGGTGGGCTGCCCTCGGCCCTCTGCCAGGGGCGAGCCGTCATGGCCTTCTGCCCGGGGCGGGCTGCGCTTGGCCCCCGGCTCGGGGCGAACCGTCGTGGCCCTCAGGAGCAAGAAGGCAAGCAGCTGTAACCCAAGACCACCAGTAAGGTGATAAAGCGTCCTCCCTTCCCCCCTTTATATCTATGCCCCTGTTCAGCATGAAGAAGCCAGAGAGTCGGCATCCAATTCCCAAATCAATAAGACAGTTGGTTTAATTACTATTGGAAAATGCTTGTCATTCCTCTGTAGCATCTGGTCCCCACTGGACCCTTATAATTTCCTTCACCTGCTCCCCCAACTGACCAAACTGCAGCTCTGCAACTGCATCCTGGCCCATCATCACCCTTCTGCCCCCAACCCTCACCTCCTTGTACCCCCAACATGTTTTCCCCAATAAAAAAATATTAATAATAAAAAGGCAAAAAAAAGTATAGTCAAGAATATGTGCTTACTTAAATCAACAACTTAAAATGACTTGTCTAAAGTTCACAGTTTCTGATAGAAGTTAACATAACAGGTTTATAATTCTATTCTACAACATTGCAGAGTTTAAAATCAATATATTGTTTATAAGAAGCACCATCTTCAAATTCTCCAAAGTAGGAGTGGGTGAAGGTGGAACCTGTATCATACTGATAATTTAAAAAATTACAGTAAATTATCTAGCACTTTAGGAAAGAATAATACACAGTTAAACAACTATCATGATTCTTCTTCAGATTTATAAGCAAAACTTGGGAAGTCAGCAAAAGACTGAAGTGCCTGCTGCTACCACAAACCTGCTTAGCTTTTCCTCTACTCATGCTCAGAAGGATAAAATAGGGTCTTACATCATAGTTTGGAAGCAGGAGTGGCATCCACTTCCTAAACAACATGCCTCCAGAAACTCTATGAACTTTGATAAATGTTGATAGTTGTAGAGGAGCTTAAGGCCTTTTGTTCATAAGTTCGCTATGAGTCATACTCTGTCATACTCTGCTCTACGGCAATCAACAACAACAACAAAGTCATAGTATAAGAAATATACAGACTAAAAAGCATTGAATCAGCATCTTAATTCCAGAGTAATTGACTCAGCATTTTAACAAAACATCTAATCTTAAATGCAAATGCAGGGATCTTTAAAAAAAAATTCCATTTTACTTTTTTAAAAGAGACAGTCTTGGTTTTATGCTACATATAGGCAAGACAATGCCATAGTTTTTATTAAGCATGATTTTGGAGATCCTCGTCTGGTATTCCTTTTCTTACTGATAGTTGCTTTTATGTAGATTCTGTCTCATGCAGACACTACGCCGGCAGAGCAGAATTGCTTCCTCCATAGGGTGTTCAAGGGTATGACCTTTCAGATATAGATCATAAGACTTTTTTCTGTAGAACTTCTGGATAGGTTCCAAAGACCAACTTTTGTCATACCATTCAGGGACTTGTAGTTCCCCTTCACTATACAACAAATATTCATCTAGTTCAGCCTAGTCTTCCTCTGCTCCGTCATTGTAAATTTCTAAAAATACCCTCCACTCCTTGCCTTTATAATGGCATAGTCTATAAAGAGCTACACTGCTAACCTAAAAGAGATGCGTCTCTCTGACAGGTTTAGTTCAAGAGGCACCGTGCAGGAAAAAGATGGACAATCTCCTGTGAGATCTCCTTCTGTGTGTCTGTGAAAACCTACTGAAAGGTTATTTATGAGTTGGTTCTGATTTGGCAGCAATTTGTGTTTTCTACTTTTAAGCCTTCAAAATGTATAGTTGCTAGGTTAGGAGCTCACGGTATATGGAGCTCAGTGGTGCTCAAAATTTACGATACTACATTCATTTGTTAAAACACATATCACTTAGTACTCATCCACAGAGTTGCTGATTCATTAGGTTTGGGCTGAAGTCTGAAAATCTACACATCAACAAAATCCTAGCTGATTCCGGTCCAGGAACCATATTTAGAGAATCATTATGTATTTAAATAGGGGAAAAGAGTGGTAAAGGAGATATTTTCATCTCAGTACTTTAGTTCTTCAGAGTTTTGTAGTAAGTTTGTAGAAACTACAGTTTTCTTTTTTTTTACTGGCATATGATGTTGCTTTTCAGGCATTATATATCTCTCTATATATAATCTTCTTCTTTCCTTTCAGGGAAAGTTTCTCACTACCACATGAGCTAAAGTGTTCTGTAGAATAAGTTTTCCTTCAAGTGAACTGCTATTAGAAAATTGGTTGCTCTATATTTTAAGTTGGAAGCTGGTAGAGTTTCTAAATTTCATGGTATGTTGAAATACAGAGAAAGTCTTCTATTACAATGTATCTTTTCTTTTTTCTTTTTTTTTGGCTTAACTGTTGTAACTCAAAATGAGCTATCGTCTTTAAAACTCTTTCAAGTTCTACACAGCCTCTAAAACAACATGTCCAGAGCAGTAAAAGTGTCCTTCTTGCTCCTCATTCCCCCCAGATCATTATCTCCATTTTCTACCAAAAACATTCTCTGCTGAGGTTATTCTTATGTTAATGTTGATATGATTACTACCATACTATGATTTTCTTGTTTCAATAATCAACAATAATTTTACCTATTGAAGATTTCAACTTCAGTTTGGAAGTAATTTTCAGAAAATTTGGTGATTACCTAATTTGTGGTGATTTTCAACTCATATGCATCATCTATGCAATCCCAGGGGTTTCTTTGTCCACCAGCATGAGCACGTAAGCAAAAGCATCATGAAGATATAAATGTAGTTATTAAATCCTTAAAGAATAAAAGAAACTTTTTTCTAGTGTAATTTTAGTTGCTTAGGTAAACCGGTAGTACCTGCGTCTAATACAAGCCATGGTCTTCGCAATCACTTGTTATGCATCAGAGAGTTGGACAATGACCAGGGAGGACAGAAGGAGAATTGATGCCTTTGAGCTGTGGTGCTGGAGAAGAGTATTGAGAATACCATGGACTGCTAGGAAAACAAACAGATTCGTCCTGGAAAGGGTTAAACCGGGTGGCTCCTTGGAGGCAAGGATTCTGGGGCTTCGTCTGACATACTTTGGACATGTTGTGAGAAGAAAACGGTCCTTAGAGAGGGACATCATGCCCGGGAGGGAGGAGGGATGGTGCAGGAAAGGAAGGATTGATTCAGTGACTGGGGCAATTGGGATGGGAGTGTCGGAAACGGTGCGATTGGCACAGGACAGGGCGGAGTTTAGGGCTGTTGTACATAGGGTCGCTATGAGTCGCAGGCGACTCGACGGCACATAACAACAAACAACAAGGTAAACCAGTATAACAAATATTTGAGGCATAAATGTGGAATGAATGGACAAAATGGACATTGTGCATATTGAACCAGCATTGTGGAACCGAAGGTGTATAAATGAGTGATTGGAGAAAAAGACAAATATGCTTTGTAAATATTTACTCTAATCACAGTTAACAAAATTATTTACAGCCTAGGGAGGGAAGAAATGCAAGAGTCCACCTTAAAAAAAGTTTTGATACTATGCAATTAATAACATTTAGCTATTACAACAAAGAAGGTATATATTGAATTACATTTCCTAATGATTTGTGTATCTCATGTCTTTGTTCCTTTCAAGTTGATAGGACTGAATTTTCATACTCTTGGTTGTGGGAGAATATAAAATTTAGAACTATTACAAGCAACGGATTTATAATTACTATTTTAGTTTTCTAATAATCTAAATAATAAGATTTTATCTTAAGTCTGCCCCACTTGAATTTCAAAACCATCTCAGGAACAGGTTTTGAGGCCTTGAGCACCAATGAGTGTAGACCAAATGAGCTCTGGGAGGCTAACAAGAAAATCGTCTATGAAGAATGCAAAAGATCATTACAAAGGCTGAAGAAGAAGAAGAAGAGACCAAGATGGATGTCAGATGAGACTCTGAGTATTGCATTAGAGTGCCGATAAGCCAAAGCTAAAGGAAGAAATCAAGAAATCAAAGAGCTGAACAGAAAATTTCAAAAGGCAGCTCAGGATGACAAAGCAAGAGACTATAATAAAATGTGCAGAGAGCTGGAGTCAGAGAATCAAAAGGGCCAGACTCACTCAGTGTTTCTTAAGCTGAAGGAGTTGAAAAACAAATACAAGCCACGGGTGGCAATACTTAAAGATAGTTTGGGTAGAATAGTGAATGATCCAGGAAGTATCAAAAGAAGATAGAAGGAGGACACAGAGTCACTGTATCAGAAGGAATTGGCTGACACAGAGGAATTTCATGAAATAACATATGAGCAAGAACC